CTCCCCTCTCGCCCTACGGTATATATGTTGTAGCAGCTTCCGCAATAAACGAGACTTGATCAGAAACCTGTCTTGTCTCCATCTCTCGTGTCCCCTGTCCCCTCTCATCCTCGCTCCCCCTCTAGGGTCTCCGTTGACTTACCCGCGGGCCGGGACACACCACCATACCATGCCCAGCTAGGAATTTATTTTATTTTTTTGGTACTGGGAAATCAAACTCCGGACCTTGCACTTTTGAGGCAGGCGGTGGAAACACTGAGCTAAATCCCAGGCCCAGGAATTTATTTTAAAACAAAATCATTTCATTAATAAAATTTATATCTCTCTTCGTCAGGCTTGTGTATTAAAGGGTTTAGACAATGCCCTGGAGGCAAAAAGGAAATTGTGAAGATTTCTGAGTAAGAAGGGATGGGATGAAAGAACTATTACGGGGTTATAAAGGATGACTATCTCCTGAGGTAATGTCACAGGTGGGTCCAAGGAAGTCCTTCTAGAGAAAGGATGGCACTCGCCCAGCCCCAACATGAGAGAGAGGCAGGGCACACTCAGGGTGACAACTGTGGCCACCAGAGTGGGTGCTTGGCCAGGCTTGAGGATCTATGTGGTCCTGGGTTTGTCCTCAAATCAGAGGATCTGGGATGTTTTGCCTAAAGACAGTCTTGGAATTATTTGTCTGCTGTTTCTTTCACTTAAAGTCAGATTGCTGCCCTTTATTGAATTAAAACTAAAACAGACTTCATCAACTAGGTTAAAATACAAGCAGTTCCTGTGTGTTTGAAGTTCAGCAATTCAGTAGTGACTGGACAGCTCTGTGTAGGGTACGGTGTCCACACTGTGGCTTGCCTGGGCCGTACTGAGTGAGGAGGAATTGTACTGATGGTTACTGTACTGTACTGTATACAGTACAGGATGGCTACTGTATACAAGTAACAAAACTTCCATGCTGGAGTATAAAAATGAACGAATTAGCAGTCCTTTATTTTTCCACTGCCAGCAGTATTGTATATGCAATTATAACAATATCATGGACAAAAAAGATTTGATACATCATTGTATTTCCTATGTGGCACTAATTAAATACTTTTATTTTATTTTTTATTTTTTTCCCTCCAATGAGTTTTAATCAACGGTACTTCTGTATCAGGGAGAGGATTTTCTAATAAAGGGCAAGTATCTTCTGATGCTACAGCTTCTTCCCTTCACATCCAAAGGTGTGTCCTGAGCTGAGGAAAGGGGAGGCTGGGCCCTGAGTTTCTCAGAGCAAATTTCCAAGTCAGTGTTTCCTCTTCACAAGGAGACAGGGCTGAGAGAGCCAGTTCCAGCCCCACTGACAAAGGGTCAGTGGACGATAAACAGGCCGCTCCCTCCTCCTCAAAAAGGAAGACAGCCTTTGTTTGTGTTTGTTGTTGTTTTTGTTTTGTTTTGAGACAAGGTCTGCTATGTAGTTCAGGCTGTCCCTGAACTTACTTTGTATTCCAGGCAGGCTTCAAACACCCAGAAATCCTCCTGCCTCACCCTCCCAAGTACTGGGATTATAGGCATGCACCCCATGCCCAGCTTGGAACTACATCCTTAACACTCAGGGACTTAAATACTATGAAACAGCACAAACCCATGTTTACTAATGAACGATCTGTTTGCTCACAACAGCGCCTGTCTTCGAAGGCGCACATGTGTGGGTGGCTGGAACAATACTGGGGCAACTGCTGCACTTTGCTCGCCAAATTACACAAGCAACTGTAACCCCACTGTGCAATTTCCACACCAGCGCCATGGGGTTCACTCTCCTTTGTCACACGGTCGCAGGCCACAGTGCCTTACAGGAGAGTGGTGACAACATGGCTAAAACCACATCCTAACACTCAAAGTTCCTCGTCACATGCTGTCAGGCAGTGTGTGGCCTGTGAGCAGCAGGTTGGACACATGAGTACCATCTCCTTAGAAAACCGACGTCTGGCTGAAACTTGGATTTTTGTTGTTATTTTGTTTTTTGACACCAGGTCTCTCTACCTAGACCAGTCTGGCCTACAATTTGTAATCCTGACTCAGCCTCCCAAGTATTGGGATTACAAGCCTGGGGCGTTATACTGGGTCAGCTTTTGGACTGTGTGGATTTATAGTGTCCTTAAAATTCTGAGGAGCCAGGCATGGTGGTGAACGCCTGTAATCCCCACATTCGGGAGGCTGAGGCAGGAGGATTGTCATGAGTTTGACGCCATCCTGAACTACATAGACCCTGTCTCAAAAAAAAAAAAAAAAATCCTGAGGAATTTGGGAGTTGTGGGACCCTATCAACCCCAAATATAGGCCTAGAAAGGAAGGTATGGGTAATTTAGGAGAGTTTGCTCAGGCCTTAAAATTAAGGCATGTTAGCCCGCCCACACCTGTAATCCCAGCACTCTGGGTCCCGAGATTTAGCAAGACCTTATCACTAAATAAAAAAGTAAAGGGAGCGGGGTCTGGGGATGCAGCTCAGTGTGGGGGCCCCAGGTGGAACCCTCAGCACTCCATTTAAGGTGGGGAGAGCTAGTTTCCTTAGACCTGCAGCTTCCTACCTGCTTTCTTTCATACTACCTCAGCGCCATGTAAACGTCTCAGAGAAAAAGACCACCGAAAACTAATGAGAACGGTTGCCTTTATCTGGTCACTAATCCACCTCCACGCCATGCAGCCTGACACCTGGTGCGCCGGCTTCGCTCAGGCTGCGAGCGGGAACTCTGGGTAACACAGCCGACCGCACGGCCCAGCTGGCGATGAAGGGACAGCGACTGTGGATCGGAGGCGGGCGGAGGTCACCAGGTGACTCTCCTCGCCGCTGCCCCGTCCTGCCCTCTGTGCCCGGCCCCCCTGCCTCCTGAGCCCTCACTCAGTTTCGCAGCGCTCAGCGCCCTCTGTTGGAACAAACCATGGCAGGGGCAGCCTTCAATGCCTCCAAATCAACTGACCTAATCCCTGCACACACTTTCCTGGAAAGGCCAGGGTGCTTGGGCCTGGAGCTTCGAGGGCTGGGCCCAGAGCCTGGTCCCGCGGGGACGAGGGCGTGAGGCTAGCCAGGCCTCGTAGTCCTTCGGGTTTCCCGCCCCGCGAGGCGGAGGGCCGAACGCGATCCCCGAGCGACCATCTGGAAGCGGAAGTCCCTCCTCCTCGGAGAGAACCGGGAGGACGGACAGGCGCCGGGGCCCACGGCCCGGTGCACCCTGCGCAAGGCGGGATGCTTGGGTTCTGCCCCACGCGCCGGCGTTTTAGTCCTATTTTATTAAACTATGATGCACATCCTTATGATTCAAAACAAAAACACAACGTCGATCTCGCGTGGGTATAACCGGCACCCATTTCAGGGGAGAACTGGGGCGGGGTGCTGAGCCTACCCGCTGGGCGCCAGGGGCAGGACCGGCGCGGGCCACTCGTCCGCGCAGCAGGGCTCCCTGCCCGGGCTCGGCCCTTTCGCCAGCGGCGCGCGCCCACCCGGTCTCCCGGGACCGCGCAGAGCCGCCTCGCTCTGAAGGCCGCAGCCCGAGACCTGGCACCAGGGACCCAGGCAGGGCCCGGGGCCACGGCCAGAGGGAAGGGTGCCTGGCCAGAGCGGCACGAGAGCGCGCGGGAGGCCAGGCCCCGCCCCCGTCCGCCTCTTCCGCTCGCTCCGGGGCGGGGCCTACGCGGCCGCCAGACCCTTTGGGACGCGGCCACGTCGTCTTGCGCGCGCCGAGCGGCCCGCGGTGTCCCGCGCTTCGGGGCGCGCGTGGGGCCCGGACCGGCCAGGGCGGCGGCCCCACCCCGGCGCCATGGCCGCGGCCAGCGTGGCCGAGTGCCTGCAGCAGGAGACCACCTGCCCCGTGTGCCTGCAGTACTTCGTGGAGCCCATGATGCTCGACTGCGGCCACAACGTGTGCGGCGCCTGCCTAGCGCGCTGCTGGGGCGCGGCCGAGACCGACGTGTCGTGCCCGCAGTGCCGCGAGGCCTTCCCGCAGCGCCACCTGCGGCCCAACCGGCCCCTGGCCAACGTGACGCGCCTGGTGAAGCAGCTGCGCGCCGAGCGCGCGCCGGGCCCGGGCGGCGAGATGGGCGCGTGCGAGAAGCACCGCGAGCCGCTGAAGCTGTACTGCGAAGAGGACCGCACGCCCATCTGCGTGGTGTGCGATCGCTCGCGCGAGCACCGCGGCCACAGCGTGCTGCCGCTCGAGGAGGCGGTGGACGGCTTCAAGGTGAGGCGGCTCCCGGGCTGGGCCGACGGCGAGGCGCCCCTCACCCGGCTGCCGGGAAGACGAGTCGGGCAGGGTCCTGAGCTCCGAGCGGGCCGGGCGGCGCAGCCGAGTGAAGCAAAGTGTTCAGTCGCGGAGTCGCCGGGGCGGCCGTGAGCCCGGGATGCCCGCGGGCTCTGGTTTGAGGGCTGCAGGTGCAGGCGCACAATGACGCCCTTGTGAGAGTGACCGCACGCATGCGTGGTCAGGGCGCTTTCAGCTCCGCCGCGTCCCTCGGCCGACTCGGGTAAGCTGGGCAGGGGCATCACCCGTGTCGCGCAGGAGAGAGTTACTAGGTCACGGCCTTCGTGCGCTCGCGCTGCAGCCGCCGCTGAGCTTGCGTCTCCCATCCAGGCGCTTTCCCCACCCTTCGGGGACTGGTGGGTCACTTACTGCGCGGGGCACAGCTTTGGGGCTAGCGTGGCGTGGTCCGAAGCCGCGCTCTCCGCCGGGACGTGGGGGTCCCAGAGGTAGGGATGCAGCGGTGGCCACGGCCCCACGGCGTAATTGGGGCGGCTCAGCGGCTGTTCCTGCTTTCCCAGGAACAAATCCAGAGCCAGCTGGACCACCTGAGAAGAGTGAAGGACCTGAAGAAGAGGCGCCGGGCGCAGGGCGAACAGGCACGGGCCGAACTCTTGGTAAGGGCTTCACCCGCGCCCCTTCTGCTTGGGGCGGGCGTAGCAGTGCCCCGGCTCTCCTTGCTTTCTTCCTGGTGAGTGGCTGCTGTGCTGATTCTGGGAGAGGAGTTTGGGAGTCACAGAGACTGTTATGCACGTATGTATTCACCAAGTGCCTAAAACGTTTTTGGACAACAAAATATTGCAGGTCTTTCCGTATGAGGTGCTTGCTTCTGAAAAGCAAGCCTCTGATGAGTACGTTGAGAAATGTCGCCCCAGGCAGGGCCCTGAAGGACGCTGCACAGGGAGCCTCTGCTGTCTCAAGTGGAGACCTCAGGAGCAACAGGCGCTGCCTCTGGGGTTCAGACGGAGGGTGTGACGTCGCCGCTGCGCCTCGGTTTGCTCACCTGTGCAGTGGGCTGGGTTGGACAGGGCTCCCAGCAGCCCGGAACTGCCCTTTTCTTCCGGAGAGGAACAGAGGGAGAGGGGAGGCCAGGCTGAGGCTGCCCAGCGTCTCATGATGGGAGGCAGTCACGCGCTGGGGTGCCGTAGCGCCCCTTTGGAGAAACCCTTGATTAATCTTTGGGGCTCCTGTCGCTCTAGTTTGTTTGTAAGGCTGCCTCTTGTGGCTGATGTCTCAGGAAGACTCAGCCCTGAGAAAGGCGAGAACTGGTGAGGGCCTAGAGCCCAGGCAGGTGCATGGCCCAAGGCGGGGAGGACGGGGGTCTCGGATCGAGTCGTCACAGGGTCTGAGAGGGACAGGGAGTGAAGTGGCTTTGGGGGCTGAGGTGATGTCACCGCTGCTGGCCTGTTCCTGCATTTCAGACTCTGGGTCCAGCACAACAGTGAAGGGCAAGGTTGGGCTCCAGCAAAACTTCCTCCCTCTCCCACTCTGCTGGTCCTGTGCTTAGAACACAACCTAGTGGTGTCTTGATGGTGGACTGCGGTGAGAAGGAAGGGCAGACAGAGCCACAGCCAACAGGCTGAGAGAGCTGTGGGCTGCTGGGCAGGCCCAGGGAGTGAGCACACGGGACCCGGCGTGGCCTGTCCCCTCTGTGTGACAGCCCTGCGTGGCTCTCAGTGGCGAGGAGGCCCTTCCCCTTGGCCTGCCGAGGTGGCGTGGTCTGGTCTTTGCCTTCGGTGGTCTTTGTCTCCCAGCACTAGGGACTGAACCCAGGGCCGCATCCTGAGCCTCATCCCCAGCCCTTTTGTGTCGTGGGTTCTGAGCTGGATCTTGCTGTCTTGCCCAAGCCGGCCCTGAACTTGTGGTTCTGTCTCAGCCTCTTGAGCAGCTGGGCTGACCCCGGCATGCGGCTCAGGTCCTGTTCTCGCTGTAAAATGCTGGATGATCTTGGCTTCTGTGTGGGCTCCCCCAGCCACCGCCCACCATTACCCTCGGTGACCGCGTCACACGCAGCAGACTCCCTGGAGGGTCTTGTTATGATCGGGAGACTCGGCCCTGGCACCATGCGCTCAGTCCCCAGGGAGGACCCGAGGGCCCGGGGTGACACTGTGCTCTTCCCCGCTCCGGCTGTCACCTGCAGAGCCTCACACAGATGGAGAGGGAGAAGATCGTGTGGGAGTTCGAGCAGCTGTGCCACTCCCTGAAGGAGCAGGAGTACCGGCTGCTGGCCCGGCTGGAGGAGCTGGACCTGGCCATCTACAACAGCATCAACGGCGCCATTGCGCAGTTCTCCTGCAACATCTCGCACCTCAGCAGCCTGATCGCACAGCTGGAGGAGAAGCAGCAGCAGCCCACCAGGGAGCTGCTGCAGGTGAGGCGGCGCCTGGGCCTCTGGGTAGGGCCACACTCGGCCCCAGGCGTGTTGGGCCGGAGCAGGGCCGCCGAGGCCAGAGGCAGTGCCATGGGCCATCGGGGTGCAGCCAGTGGAGCGGCCCAGCCTTCTCCCTGGCAGAGCCGCGCCGTGCAGGCCCCGTGTCTGTCGCTGCCTCCCCAGCCGCAGCAGCTTCAAGTGCTGGGAACGGCTGTGGCCTACAGAGCCTCAGTCCTCGCCGCTGCCGTGGAGAGGCGCAGACCCTACACTAGGGGAGAAGGGCTGAGCGCTAACGCTCGCCAGTGTCCAGTCGCCCGCGGAGGACGGGTGACCAGGAGGGAGAGGCCTTGGGAGGGGCCAGAGGGCTCATGCGGCTGGTGCCAGGCGTTCTGTGTCCAACACCATGGGGTTGGGTGGGTGCAGGGTTAGGGAGGGACGGGGCCTGTGCAGGGTGCAGCTGTGGGAGAGCGGAGGGTGGAGGAGTAGAGCACGCAGGTGAGCAGGACCGGGGGCTTCCTGGGAGTGTTTAGATGCTGCCGAGTCGTGTGGGTGGGGTCTGCTGGGGAGGGTGTGGTCGAGCAGGCCCTGGGCACAGGACCTGAGTGGAGCAGCGTACAGGTCACAGAGAGGCCTCTGAGTGACCCGGCTGTGACTTCAGGCTGGGGAGGAGCAGTAGGGCCGCTCCGCCCAGAGGATTTACGTAGAACCGTTCTGCCCCGTTGGGATTTTCTTGTCTCTGTTGCTTTCTCCAATCTTGGCTGCTATGGCCCACACCCCAAGGAAGCAGACAGTTTTTTGCATGATGGGCTCGAGGGTTTTTTTCTTTTATGAGACAGGATCTCATGATGTATTCCAGGCTGGCCTCGAACTCACCGGAGTCTTCCTGCCTCAGCCTCCCAAGTGCTGGGATTACAGGTGTGCACTGCCACGCCCAGCATTAGTACCTATTTGTGACCTGTCCTGAATGTGGTGCATTTATCGTGGGGAGTGGGCACATACACATTTCACGTCCTAGTCCTCTTTCTCTCCTTCTCCCCTCCCTCCCTCCCGCTCCTTGGTCTCTACACCCCTTCCTATCCTCAGAAGGTCTGTTTCCCTGGTTCTTGTTGTCTTTTATTTTTCTCTTCAAATTATTTCTGCTTTGGGTTTCTCATGTGAGAGAAACCGTGTGGTAGTGAACCTTCTGTGCCTGATTTATATCACTTAGCATCATGGATCAAGGTGCATCCATTTGTTACAGATAACTCACATTTATGCTTTCTTATAGCGGAACAGTTAGGACTGCGTTGTGTACAGAAACCACATTTTCTCTTAAGTAGATGTTGAATGTTTTTTCAGTGCTGATGATTGAACCCAGGGCCTCAGGCACGCTAGGCACAAGCTCTGCCACACCCTGGACTAAGGCTAGATCTTAAGGGGAAAGGAGCATCTAGTGAGAACAGAAAGTATCAGATTGCTTACTAACTACAGAAGGAAAACAGCAACCATACAGTGGTTGAGACCAGTATCACCAAGGGGCTGGGGATTTAACTCAGTGGTGCCACCACCTGCCTCGAAAGCTCAAGGTCCTGAGTTTGATTCCCAGTACCAACAACAACAAAAAAGACCAGTATCACCATGAAGGCATGAGCAGTTGGGCACTCGGAGGGCCGAAGAAATGCACTGTCAGAGATGGCACAGCCTGAATTTGTTTATTCATTTTTAAAAGGGGGGTGTGTTGAGACAGCATCCTGTTAAATAGATCACCTTGGCCTTGAATTAATTCACTATGTAGTTTATAGTGGCCTCAAACTTGGAGCAGTCCTCCTGCCTCAGCCTCCCAAGTGCTGGGATTACAAGTGTGCACCACCACGCTCAGTGGCACAACCTGAATTTAATCTTGAGGAAAACTGCAGTGAGCAACATTCTGTAAAGTAACTGGCTTGTGTCAAATAGTATCAGAGCCGGGAAAGACAGAAAGACACCAGGGCAGAGGAACGGTTCTAGTGGTGACCGAGCCGTGAGGGACCCTGCTTCTCACGTGGACAGGACGTGGGAGCTGAGAAGGGCAGTCATTACTAAGACAGCTGCTCAGATGGGCCCTGGGCCGTGGGAGGCACACGTGTCGCTGCTCCGTGACTGACCTGGAAGACCCACTTGTCCTTGGGAGCTGCAGGGACGCATGGAGGGGCGGCAGGAACAGCAGCCTTGGGTTGCTCTGAGGGTGCCATGATTGACAGGCAAACAGTTAAAGGTAACCCAGAGTTCTTTGTCTGAACAGCTGTCTGTGATCTGAAATTATTCCACGGTGAAAGCCAGGCAGATGGGCAGGTGAGGTGTAAGAGAAGGAAGTCGAGTTAGTAAGAAAATTCCAGCTTCCTCCACCTGGCCTTTGGGTCCCGGAGACTGAGTCATGTTCCAGTGGTTCTTGTCTCTGGAAACCAGAATAGCTGTGAGAGGAGCTCAGGCTGATAATGACTTCTCATGGCCGCCCTTCTGCTTTCTCTTACAGGACATCGGGGACACGCTGAGCAGGTACGGTTTTCTCTCCCTCTGGTGTTAAGTCAAGCACACAAGAACTATCTTGCTCACCTTTGTCGCCCCTGCCAGGCTGAGCTGGCCCCTTCCAGGACCGCTGCCTGCCCTGGGGAGTCCCTGGAAGCTCAGCTCTGCGCCGAAAGCCTGCAGATCAGAGACAGACAGTGGGGCAGGGTGGAGCTCGCCGAGGGTCAGGGCTGGTGGCCGAGGCTGGGAGGACTTCCGTGGAGACTGACGGGGCCTGGGCAAAGTGCAAGGGTCGATCGAGGCCACTGCTTCCCACGGCTTGCGGGGTTTTTCTGGAATGAGGTCAGGAAGGCCTAGGCATTGCTGGAGACTCACCCAGACTCTGATGCTTATTCTTGTTTTCCTACTGTAGCATCAGCCAGAAAACAAGGAGGCCTAGTATGGCTCAGCAGCAGAGCTATGCTTAGCTAGCTCAAGGCCCTGGCTTCTGTCCTCAGCCCTGAGAAAAGAAGAGAGTGGGACCGAGCTGGGCCCCCAAAGGCAGAGACTGCAGGGTGGGCCGCAGGCGGGGCGGGGCGGGCTGCGGGAGCAGCGTTTGGTGCAGTCAAAATCCTGCATGCCAGGAGCACAGCATCTGAGGCGGCAGAGGAGGCCTGGGGGGGGTCAGTGGGCAGGGCTTTGTGGACAGCCGTGCCGGTGGGAGTGCGGCTCTGAGGGGCCCAGGGCGGAGAGAAGGTGGAGTTTACACCAGTTTCATCCAGGGGACCCAAGGCAACAACCTTCCTGCTGCTCTGGGGTCAGGTGAGCTCTGACCACCAGGCGGGTCCCACAGATCCTAACGGAGTGTGACATTAAGGACAGAGAAGACACAAAATTTCATCGGCTTGAGGCTTAAACATAATAGAAAGTTGGTCAGGATGTAAGAAATGTGCAGGTAGGCAGCCCCAGGGCGAGGGTGGTGGCGCCAGTGACCCTAAAGCATGATTTCTGGCCAGGCATGGTGGTGTCTATCTGCGACCCTGTCACTCTGGGAGGCTGGGGCAGGAGACTGACAGGTTGGTGCTCAGCCTGAGCAGCTCAGTGACTTAGCAAGACTCTGTCAAAATAGAAAAAAATGGCTAGAGATACAGTTCAGCGTGAAGGCCCTGATTGCATTTCCTAGAACAAAAAAACCCTGATTTCTTCCCCTTTGCTCTTCTGCCCTCCCTGAGGCCTGGTCCTCATGTAGACCCTTGCTAGGATTCCACTCAGGAGAAAGGAGATGGATCACATCAGATCACTTGGAAGCAGATTTTTCAAAATGCTATGAGGTACTTCTTCACCTCCCCCTGGCCGAAATTTGGTCACATCTAGACGTACGGGACATGGCCAGCCATAAGCACAAAACCTGGGAGATACTGGACAAGCAGCCAGCAGTCTGCCATAGACCCTTAGACTGGTAGGGGTTGGGTGTGGAATTCAGAGAGTACCTGTCTGAGGTGTCGTTCTCCATATTGGGAATCTGAAGAGTGTGGACAGTGGCCCACCATAAATACCAAGGACTGTGTCACAGAACTTTGTGATTTCTGGCAAGGTCAGCCTCATAATTCAATTTAGTTCAGTACATAACCCCCATTCCTACCCCACAAGCCCAGGGCCTTCACCCTAAGCTGCATTCCCAGTACTTTCTAAAGACAGGGTTTCACTAAGTGGCCCAGGTGGGACTTAAACTTGCGGTCCTCTTGATTCCAGCCACCCAGAGTTCAGTAAACCTTTTTAGAAACTTGCTGTTTGAGAACCCATGGGTTACGTGCCTTGGGGAAATGAAAATGTGCAAGGTACGACCTTTGTTCTGATTTAGAGAATCACAGCCTAGGAGAAACTACCAGCTGGAGTAGCAGCTTCAGTGTCAGCTAGTGTCAGGGAATTTATCCAAGGCCTGTCCTGGCCCATGGAAGGTGCTGGAATTCAGGGAAAGATTCATGTGTTCTTTAAATCTAGGGCTGAAAGAATCAGGATCCCTGAACCTTGGATCACACCTCCAGATCTGCAAGAGAAAATCCACATTTTTGCCCAAAAATGCCTGTTCTTGACAGAGAGTCTGAAGCAGTTCACAGGTAATAAATCTGAGGAGAGGGGTCGGGAGGGAAAAGTGGGCTTTTACCCTAAATGTCTTCAGCTCGCCTGAGGGATGTGTACTGCCCAGCACTGGTGCACAGATGTGGGATGCAGCTGAATATCTTCTTTTCTCTCCTTAGAAAAAATGCAGTCAGATATGGAGAAAATTCAAGGTAAATTGCCCTCCTGACTGGCTCTGAGGTTGGACTGTCCTGGGAGGAGCAGCATCTGTCTTAAAGAGTGGGACACAGACGGTGACCCGGCCGGCAGCTCCCCCGGGCTTCCCACCCCTGCCCCTCATGAATTTCCCAGTTAACAGCCCCGTTCTCACATGAGGTCCGTCAGGTGTTCAGGCAGCTCTCAGGTCTCCTGCTGGAGGAGAGAAAGATTAGTGCAGGATTAGCTTGCTTCACCGGGACGTGCTGGTCACACCCGCCGGAGCTGCATGCACAGCAGGGCTGCCCGGGCCCCTGCAGTGTGGACATGCGCATGACCCAGCAGCACCCGGAGGCGCAGGCCTCAGTGAAGGGTCGGTATTGTTACTGCTTCACCTGTAGAGGGAGAGAGAGATGATACTTCGCACCACACAGAGGTCATAAGGTTAATTGTAGGCCGGAGCCTGATGTCTTCTATCTGTCATTAGGGTTTTCTGGGAGTCTGGGGGAGGCTTTTCCAAGTCCAGATTTCCCTCCTAGACAGCCTCTGCTCGGGAGTCGGCGCTGTGTTTGCCAAGTCCTCCTTTGTGTGGTCTTCTCACCTCTTGGCGTGTTTGGCACGTAGCTGTGCCGCTGGAGACACACGTCCTCTGGCCACACGAGGAGCGAGCACACAGCACTGTGGGGAGCAGCGGAAGTGGCTGGTTCTGACACGGCTCCTCTGGTTGGCTCTCATTTGCCTCGCCTGTCCATCTTTGTCACAAGGCTCCATGGGAACGCGTGACAGCACGTGTGCGCCTCGGTGGCAGTGGTGCCCTTGGAGCTGCCAGCCCAAGACAAAGCTGCCTAGGAAAGCCATGTCCCTCCACACAGAGCTCCTGCCCTCTTCCCTGAAGCCCTGGGCTGGGCGCTGGAGCTGCCCACCGTGTGAAGAGGACAGCGCACGGCTGCCCAGGCCCTAGGGTCTCCAGTGGAGGCCACAGCTCCACAGGGACCAAGTGCGCGCAGCCAGACTTCCTCGAACCGCTCACGGCCTTCAGTAACTTCTTATCTCTTTTGTTCTTTCAGAGTTGAGAGAGGCTCAGTTATACTCGGGTAAGTGATGGAGGACAGAAGCCCACTGGGGAAAGGAACAAAAGCCCTGGTGAACTTAGCTGCTGCTGTGCATGACGGGCTGCGCCTCAGCGTGACCGGCCGTCGGGCTGCCTGTGTGAGGGGTGGCACACACGGTCCGCCGTCTTGGGGCTTACATTGGCCGCCGTAGGCTGCAGCCGCAGGGCAGTCGGTCAGGGCTCACAGCACAACAGTGGAAACTGCTGTTCCCCGAGCAGAAGGCGGCCCTGCCCATCCCCCAGCCGGGAGTCCTGGCTGCGTCCCTTTACCCTCTGAGTGGGAAAGGCCAGGGAAGTGCCCCCCCGAGCTGTGACCCCGGCGCCACGTGGCCGCCACCATGTGGGGCCCTCTTCCCAAACAGACCCTGGGCTCTGGGTCTTGACTCACTGGTCCCCACGGCCGCCCTCCATTCAGTGCCCTCAGCAAAGGTGAACAGTGCTGCATTTTCATCCTGCACTAACAGGCGCGGCCAGGTTGAGGAGCACTTGCCTGTGCTCAGGACCTAGGTTTGATCCCCAGAGCCACAAGGGGAAAAAGTGTAAGATACCGTCCTGCCTGTGGGCTTTCGAGGGAAACACAGCATGGGAAAGGAGGAGGCCAGGTTCCGGTGGAGTGGAGCGGCCAGCGCATGTGCTTAGTGTGGGGGGCTCTGGGTCCAGTCCCCATTGTGGCCAGACTGTTGAACCAAGAATCAAAGGTCCTGGGGTTCTTGGTCACCTTTACTTGTTGCCAGGTGTGGACCATTTTCAGAAATCCCCTAGCCTGACTGGGTTCTGATTCCTGAGAGGCAAAGGTCAGTCCTCTGGGCAGCTTGGAGAGCTGAGTACAGATGAGTGCTCCTCAAGCAGAAGGGCACCGCGTGATTGCGGAAACAGTGACACTGAACACGGGAGGTAACACAGTGACACACTTTAGATTTCAAAGCAAGAGGAGTAGAAGCTGTTGTGTTGGTACCTGCCTGTCATCCTAGCTCTATGAGAGGCTGAGGCGGGAGGGTCTCAACTTTGGGCCCCATCTGGGAAATTCAAGACCCTCTTTCAAAAAAGTAAATAGCTGGAGATGTAGCTCAGAGCCAGCCATCTGGGTTTAATCTTGAGTGCTAGGGGAAAAAAAGTTGTGGGCTGGTTAAGAAAAACTGGGGACGATAAGGACCTTAGAAGAGGAGTAGTGTTGGACATAGAATACGATCTCACTGAATGAGTCCAACGGTGATCTGAGGGCCGGGCCGGTTGTTGGAGGTCTGAGTCCCTCCCACAAGTCCAAACCCCCGTGTCTCTGAAGGCCAAAGTTTTTCATTACTTTATGGCAGCAAAGTGAATTTGTGCGGAGTTGTTCTAGCTTTGTCCTACAGGATATGAGCTTCTGTGTTGCATGCAGATGTGCTGATATCTGATCACAGGGTGCTGTGGCAGACCCCACCTGTCTGGAATCTAACTCTGAGTCTGTGATGCTTTTTTAGGCCTCTGAGGCTTTCATATGAAGGGATTGTGGGCAGGCAGGAAACCTGATTCAGTTTATCATGGATGTTGTGGCTCAGGAGGCAGAGAGGGAACGGGCTGATTTTCCTACTTTTACTGTATTGTCAGAGCAGTCCCAGCAGTAATTTTGCAAATGTGAGTCCTGCGACATGTTTCGTTGTGAAGTGAACGGTGTGTAGCAGGCCCGGACCCTGGCCCTGGGATGGGGGCGGTGTCCTTGGGGTCCCTGGCCTTGGCTAAGCCTCCTCTGCCCTGCAGTCGACGTGACCCTGGACCCAGACACGGCCTACCCCAGCCTGATCCTGTCCGACAACCTGCGACAAGTGCGGTACAGTTACTTGCAGCAGGACCTGCCCGACAACCCGGAGCGTTTCAACCTGTTCCCCTGCGTGCTGGGCTCCCCCTGCTTCGTCGGCGGGCGCCACTACTGGGAGGTGGAGGTGGGGGACAAGGCCAAGTGGACCATCGGCGTGTGCGAAGACTCGGTGTGCAGGAAGGGCGGTGTGACCTCGGCCCCCCAGAACGGGTTCTGGGCTGTGTCGCTGTGGTACGGGAAGGAGTACTGGGCCCTCACCTCACCCATGACCGCGCTGCCCCTGCGGACCCCGCTGCAGCGCGTGGGCATCTTCTTGGACTACGACGCTGGCGAGGTGTCCTTCTATAATGTGACCGAGAGGTGTCACACCTTCACCTTCTCCCACGCCACCTTCTGTGGGCCAGTGCGGCCCTACTTCAGCCTGAGCTACTCAGGTGGGAAGAGCGCGGCGCCCCTCATCATCTGCCCCATGAGTGGCATCGATGGCTTTTCTGGCCATGTTGGGAGTGACGGTCGCTCCATGGAGACCTCCCCGTGAGGAGTAGAGCTCAGGCTGGCAGCTGGGGTCCTCTGCCGCCCTGCCGAGTGTTGCCTCTGTCCATCGGAGCTGGATGTCCACACTGTCCCTGCCCTCACCATGGGACATGCGATGTCCATGTTCCCTGGGACCCTTCCCCTTCCCATGCAAATTGTGAGCTGTAATGAGAAGTATCAGTATTGCCCACAAATAAAACCAGATGGCCTCCGACTGCAGCAGGTGAAGAATGCGGACCATTTTGCGTGTGGAGGGCACTGAGACTCTGCCCCTCTGGCCCACCCCAGGTCCCGGGGGATTCTTGTCACTTCTGAGAATCTGAAGGGCCCTTTGAGGGCTGTCACCTGGCTCCCTCTGCCTCAGTTGTCCTTGGAAGTACTGCCACCTCGGACTTCCAGTGTGCCAAGTTTTATTAATTCCAACAATGATGCTGCTATGTTTTGGTTGGTTCCAGTTATTTCACAGGAATGGTGAAAACAGTAGCACCTCTATCATGCGGTGCTGTTCTAGCTGGTGTGTGCCTCTGTCCTCCAAGAGGGCTTGTCTGCTCCCCTCAGGCTGATGGGAGGTGGATCCTGCTGCCCTCTGTGGTCAGCCACACGCCATCCTTGCAGAGTCTGGGCCACTGTTCCAGGAGTCTGTTGCCTTCTTGCCTGCTTTTTCCTATCCCCTTTGGGGCCAGGGCTTGACCTTCCTCATATGTGTGCCTTGGGCTGCTTGTCCCCAGGGCCTTCACCCCCTGAGCCATTCTGGAGTCAGAAGGCGGAAGCACATCACTGCAAGTGAGTCCCTGGATGTTCTTAGTCCTGCTTCTCTTTGGGTACGTGCCCCTGTTTAAAGTGGATAGTGGGTATTTGTATTTCTGGTTTTCCTGGGTCTTACTGAGATTGGGCTCATAGATTGAGAGTGAAGGGAACACGTTGATTTCCACCGTGACTCCAGGGTCCCATTCTGGCTACTCTCCTCTCCCATCTAGATGGTAAAACTCATTTCCTAAGAGGGCTAAAAAGGCAGTCTTGTTTATCTCTGGTCTACAATTCTCGTATTGGGTAAGCCTGTGATTTCACTGGGGAAGTGTGGTATCAAGGTCTGCTTACTTAACTAGCAGTGGGATAATGGACCCACCTGTAAAGATCAGAGAGCCCAAAACATTCCTGAGCACAGAACCAGGAGCCCAAGCAGAGTCCTGTGCTGAGGAGGAGTGATCAGGCCGAGAAGACAGCCCAGTTCTCAGGAATTTGGATCTTTTCTGCTTCTAGACAAGCGTCCATGGGCTCTGCACTTTCCTGGTCCAGGCGTTGGGGTTCCATGGCTGAAGACCATGAGTTGAGGATAACCTCCTAATTCATTCACTAGGCTTTAAGGGAAACAATACAGCCAGGGACTGTCAGTAGGGACTTTTTTCTGAATGCTCTGAGATATGAACATATAATACATATTTACATAAAGTGCTTAACAAAGCAGTGTTTGGCACACAGCATGAAGAGCTTTACGCACTATAACTTATTTAAGGCTCATTAAACTCCCAAAGCACCATTTCCTTGATTTTACAGATACAGACACTGAAGCAGAGAGGGTAAGTGCCTGATCCCAGATGCATAGCTAGGAAGCACCATGTCCAGGATTCAGACAGCTGGACACATGATCACATTCCTCAGTTCTGCCACAGATGTGGGGCTTCTGCTCTGTACCAGGAGGGGCAGAGCTGGCAATGCAGTCTGTTGGCCAGCGATGCCTTTTCATAGCAGCACCTGCAGGATCACAACTGGAAAATATCAAAATCACATCCCATTTTCACTTAATTATTGAGCCCACTGGGGCAGGGAGGGAGAGCAAAGGCCCACAAAGAGGAGGTGCCCTTGGTTCCCACTTCCCCGTGATGTTGGCAGCCATTACTCTATTCCCTGTACACCGGCTAAAAGCAGCAGCTACAGCACAGATAAGCAAGCTTGTGGAATCCAGCAAAGCTGCTTGCAATTTGTTTTTTAATAAATTTTATTTTATCCCATCCCCCCCTTTGCAGTTTTAATGAGGACGCATCTGTAAGGGTGACTCTAATTAACAATACTGAGTAGAAAAAGTTCAGCCCATTTTCCTTATGATACCTGTGTTACAATATGAACAGAAGGCCCAGGCTTCCCTGTGGGGTGTGCAGCAGATGAGAGGAGGGCAGAGTTCGTGTGGCGCAGTGATTACTTCTGGGAGGGGTGGACTCAGGTATTTACATTTTTAAGGCTACCACTGGCTTTCCTGGCGAGAGCCCGCCCTGTATCTCCAGGGGGTTCTTTTATCTCGCTTTTTCCTCTTTTACTCGGCGGCCCTAGCTCACTCGGCTGAGCCAGTTTTTCTCTTGCTCTTCACTTTTACTTTTTCAAATAAACTTTGCCACTACTTTTTTAAAAAATAATAAAATTTTAGTTTAGGAAGCCCATTTTGAATGGAGTTAAATGAATTTGTAAATAATTCTAAATTTACTTAAAGCAATCTCTGAGTTCACAGGGAGGATGCGGACCACTGAAGGAGACGAGCTCGGTAGGATTCTTTTGGCACCTGTTTTCTTCGAACAAATGATGTCAGTTACACAATCCGGCTTCAACAGCTCCTCTGGTTCGTAGTTCTTTAACTGTCGCGGAAAAGTTGTGCGCGCCTGTGCGTGTATGCAAGAGGCCTTGGGTTCAATCCCCAGCACCAAAAAACCAGCCAATCGATCTATCACCCATCAATCAGTGAAGAGGTTCAAGTATGGGGACTGAGTCCTGCTTTTAAAATTCGTGAGGGGCTGTCGGCTTGATCGCTCTTTACTGGGGCGCTCACCCCCGTCTTTATTTGCCAGGCCTTTCAAGTTCCCTCTCGTGGAGCATGTTTTCACAGAAATCCGGGATAGCCTCGGGCGAGTCCTAATACACAAGGGATACTGACGGTCCACGCTCACGCTCCCATAGTTAGTTCTACCTCACTCCCAAAAAGATATGAAGTCTTGTGCAACACAATCAAGGTAGCCGCCGCTTAATACGCCATAAAAGAAGGAAGAGTTGGGATGGGGAGGAAAATTGGCCAGGAATAAAAGGCCTTTTTCTGCTAACAACACCTCTGTCGCCCCGCGCCCGAACGGAAGGGTCCAAGCCGACGTCTCCGCAGTCACGGCGCGGCCGGGCCCCCGCGCCTAAGGGAGACCTCGCCAGGTGGCCCCAACCCCGGCCGCGCGCGACGCCTCCCTCCAGCTCTGGCGTGGTCTGTTTGGCTGCAGTAACGCTCCGGTCAGCCTACAGGCGGCCGCGGGCTCACTGCTGCCAAGCAGCCCGACGTCATCATCCCGCGTCGCGCAGGCGCCCTCTCTAAGCGCTCTTTAATGTGAGATCGGCAATCGTTTTGCGGAGTGTCAGGATGGCCGAGTGGTCTAAGGCGCCAGACTCAAGCTCTGCTTCCCGCGTTCGGGGATTCTGGTCTCCGTATGGAGGCGTGGGTTCGAATCCCACTTCTGACACATTGGTTTTCTTGCCTCATTTTGGAACACACAAACACAACAAACTATTGTACATGAACTAGCAAGCCTACTTTCAAACACTTTTAAAATTTTGTCTTAAGAATTGGCAACACAAAAGACAAGCAGAAGCTTCGCGAGGTCTTTGAGAGCCGCGAGATTTCCGGCAGAGAAGCTCGGTCCCAGCGGGGCCGCCCCACCCCCCGGGCGCGTGCCCGCGGCGCGTTCTGGACGCTTCCGGGCGCGCGGCGGCGCCACGGTCGCCTGAGGGTGCGCGCTTCCCCGCCGCGTCCGCTCCTCAGCCCTGCCGGGTCCCCTGGGCGCGCAGCACCCGCCGAGAGCGCGGAGCCGCCCCTCTGGCCCGGCCCCGCGTTGTGGGCGAGAAACTGCCAGACCCACGCGCTTCCCCGGAGATGAGTGCACTGGTGGATGTTCTAAGGAGGCATCGGTCACCTGGGGCCAGGTCTTCCGAGACCCCTGACCCACCCCGCACCGCCGAGGATCCTTGCTCGGGCCTGGTTCGCTTGTCACGTGACTTGTTTCCCCGTCGGATGCCCGTTTAATCAGTGTTACCCAAGCAACTGTACCGGTCGTAATCGTATTGGTTGTTCATAGCTTTGCCCACCTTGTGATTTTTCACTGGATCAGTATTACCCAAGAGACTGTATTTGTAATGTTACCAGTTGACTATAGTTTTGTTCCACCTTGAACCTGCTTCACCTGGTGGCTTTGTCCCATAAAACGCCTTTGAGAAGGAGGGTGGGCGGGCAACCCACTTTTCTGTCCCCCTCTGTCTCTCTTAGACTGAAGCTATCTTTCAGTAAATTTTTTCTACACTTAACCTCCGTTGTTCCTAGACTTCATTCTTCAATTTTAGAGAACACGAACTCGCGCTTCGGATATGTAGCTGGTTTGGGAGTTACGTCTGTTCGCCCTGTATCAATTCAGCCTGGAACCTCTTAACGTAGGTTCACTGCTTTTTACCCCTGAGATCCCAGGAACAGTTTTCTATAGTGTCTTCAGTAGAAATGTAAATTGTAAAATAACTCAAAATCAGTGAAAGTTGTTGAGCAGGGTGATGCTTACCTGCAATTCCAGTAACTCCAGAGACTGAGACAGGAGGGACACAAGTTCAAGGCCAGCCTGGGTAACTTGGTGAGACCCTGTCTCAAAATTTTAAAAATTCATGGTCTATGGCTGGGGATTAACTCAATGGGAGGCTCTAGATTCAATCCCCAGTATAGAAAAAATAAAGTTACCCCACACAAGGTAAGCTGGGGTTTTGTTTTGTTTTGTTTTTAAAAGACACTTACATTTTTTCTGATGAAATTGGAAATGGAGATAACTATTAACTTCAAAACTGAATAGGAGCCCACTATTTAGCTAATACAGTCTTGTAGACTTGAGTTTTAGAGTTGATACTGTTGAGCCAAAAATAATAGAGATTATTGTTTTGGCTTGAGCACAGTAGGCCTCAGGTGCCCAGAACACACCAAAATAGATTCTCTTATGTTAAGTGCCACATAATCAAGTGAAAGTTTAATGCAGTAGTGTGACATAGGAATGTGTAGAAACTTGCTTCAGTGACAGTGTAACAAATACCTAGAGGCTGGACCTGTAGGTGTCTGCCTTCATTTTCTGTCTCTCTTATCAGCTCAAAACTTGGGACAGATTTCTGTTTGGCTTTGCACAGAGGTATGTCAGTCACTTCGATCATCCTGTCCCCCTGAAGTATGA